AGTGCAGTGGCCCAATCTTGGCTCACTGCAACCTCCGCCTCCCAGGTTCAAGAGATCCTCATGCCTCAGCCTCCTGAGTAGCCGAGACTACAGGTGTGCACCATCATGCCCAGCTAGTTTTTGTATTTTTAGTAGAGACAGGGCTTCACCATATTGGTCAGGCTGTTCTGAAACTCCTGGCCTCAAGTGATGCATCTGCCTCGACCTCCCAATATTCTAGGATTACAGGCTTGAGTCACCATGCCCGGCTGATTCTCTTTTTTTGAGATGAGGTCTAGCTCTGTTGCCCAGGCTAGAACCCATCTAGCAGTGGGATGGGGTGCTAGATGGGGCCTAGCCTGGGCAACATGGGGTACAGTGGCACCATCATAGTTTAGCGAAGCCTACCATTTTATCATTTTCCAATGGCAACTAGATCCACAGTATTTCCTTCAAATGCAGCTTAGTCATAACTAATCTAAGCGGCCCATCTTTGAGGGCCTGTTGCCAGTAACCACTTTTGGAACCAAACACTGTATTAGTCAGGATTCAGTAACTGCAGAAAACAATACCCCTCTACCAATTTTAAGTAGACAAGGATTCAATACAGGTAAATTAGGTGCTTACAAAAGTGTTGCAAAGCCTGGGCAACGTGGCTGTAGGCTGGACCTCCAGGGGATTCCCAGACCTGGAATTAGACTTCCATGTAGGCTGCTACCTCTGCCACCACAGGGGAGATGAGGAATTAGGAGGCCACTAAAGGTTGACTACAAGAAAAAATATCACAAACTGCTATCTATGCATCCAGACACCCTTCAACACCCACAAGCTACTAATGGATATTACAGTGCAATTAAAGAAACCTAAAGTCTCTACATCTTGCAGGAGCAACAGCCAAAGTAGCTAAAGATAACCTCTCAATCACTTCTCCTTCCACATCTTGTTTGTGCACTGAATTGGCAAAACTTAACCTTAGGTTACGTTCAGAACCTTGGTTTCAAGGAAGTCCAAGACATGGACTTCCTTGTTTAGTTTTCCAGCCTGTGGGTAACCCCCCATATAGGCACCGAGCAATGAGAGCTAAGCAGAACCCTGGCAGTCAGGGCTTGAGGAATATCTCACTTTATAGTGTTACTACTCAGCTATTTCCTTTTATATAATCCTTTACATAATCATATATTAGTTTATAGAAATAGGGCTTGAAGCCTCCCTTTATATAATCCTCTATATATAATCATATAATAGTTGATAGCATGAGTGCCTAAAGAATATTTCCCTACATATATACCTATGATTATATCTTAGTTCATAATCGGAGGAATGCCTAGAGTGGACATAGTACAGAGCATGAATTAAGGAATAAGCAGCTTATAATTGGAGGAATGCCTAGAGCAGACACAGTGCAGAGCATGAATTAAGGGCAAAACAGTTATACAAGGACAAGAATCCATGGCCCAGGTGGCAGCGTTCAGTATCGTAAAGATATGCACTGTATGGCAGGCTTGGGGTGAGGGCCACTCCTCCTGACAAAGGAATTGTAGGACCTTGCTCCAGTTCTTGTGGAAGGCTGCCCTCAGAACGGCAATCCACCTTGGGGACTGTGAACTTTATCAGCTCTTGCTACTGTGCTGCTCGAAAAGCATCTTCCCATAGAATCCATTGGAAGCTGACAGAAGGTGGCGGTAACCTTGACAGCTCTGTCACTGCTATGTGACTTAAAGCATCCTCCCATAAATCTTAGAAGTAGTTTCCCATAGATAGAAGTATTGCACACTGTACCCTCTTCACTGCGCACGGCCCACCTTCAAGCCTTGGTGACCTAATGGGGGTGGACCCCTTACTGCACATGGCCCTTGCCTTCGTGGAAATGGGCCCCTTGCTGTGCACTGTCCACCTCCTGGCCTACGTGACCTAATGGGTGTGGACCCCATGTTTTATTGCTCACAACCCTATCACTATCCTGAAAGATTATTTCACTCACTGCCCTGCCCTCTAACCTACACACAATAAATATTCATACTTCTGGACATTAGCGGCCTCGCCTGACTCCCCTTATAGGTGGCGTGGCCCCCCGAGCCCAGCTGCGTTTTTCTTTGTACTTCTGTGTCCTCTTTATTTCTTAGATCCTGCGCTTCAGCACAGCATAAGGCTCACCCCACGACCCTGTGGGGCACTCAGCCCTACATCTGGCTCCCAATGTGCTCTACACCAGCCTTTGCAGTATAAGAAGGTACATTAAGTCAGAATAAATGATGAGTATTCATTTACCATATCCACAAGCTTCTTCACATTGACCTGTCCAGGTAGTACTAGTGATCAGATGTGCCCCCTCCCAGTTTTAGCCCCTTTGAAAGCTGGCATCTGTCTGGCTTTGAAGATTACCTCTTCCTGGATCTGTCGGGCTTTGAAGGTTACCTCTTCCTGGCCCAGAGAAATCTAAAATTTTCTTGTCTTCAGAGTTGTTTTGCTAATCTACACAATCTTGCCCCAGCTACTTCTTTGACCTAATCCACTACTCTCTCACCTTGGTCACTTTGTTTCAGCCATATAGGCCTCTATACTGTGTTTTTATGGTAGCAGACCAAGGATGCTCTACCAAAGGGCCTTTGTATTATTCCTCATGTCTGGTATGTGCTTCCCCTAGATATTCACATAGTTCTCTTCCTTGCTCCATTAAGTTCTCTAACAAAATGGAACCTTATCAAGGAGGCCCAACCTGGTCATGTAAAGTAGTATCTACCACTCTGTCTTCCCTATTTTTCTTCAGGGTACTTATCCTCAATCCAGATTATATCTGATTGCCCTCTCCCACTAGAGTCTAAGTTCCATGGGGACAGGCATTTTCTATTTTAGCCATTGCTACATCTTACACCTGAAATGCAGTAGGTATTTCAGAATGAACAAAGGCTGTATGAAGAGGAAATTAAACTTTCTATTTTAACTTTTCTAATGCACTACTTGTGTTCGCCTTTAGGTGGCGATGATGGGCCTTTTCATCTGCTAATGTGTTGCTAAAGATGAGAATAAATTTAACTTTTTCATAGCCTCTGGCCTAGGGGTCTAGGCTTCCTTTCTTAGATTATATCTAAAATCTCCTTTAACTCACTTCTTCTTATTCCTGCAGGAGGAAAAAACATGCGCCCTTACCAAAAACATTTTCGGTATACCCTCTCAGTCTTTACAACCCATTAACTAGGATCATCATCTGTTTTGGCTAAGTGAAAACAGACTCAGAGAATAAAACTGCCCAAATCTCACCGCTGTAGTTAAGTGGAACCCAGACAAGAAATATAGGTTTGGCCATGAACTACTGCCCCTTCAACAGACTTCTTTGATTTCATCCAAGTTAATTGTTCTCTTGAGGCTTCAAGAGAATTCTGTTTTGAGTTGATAATTTGCATTTCAAGAGCTCTCCAGGCTGTGTCTTTTTCCAAGTTCTCTTTTTCACACAAGTATACCCCCACTTCAGGGAACGTTTTTCCAGAGATCCAAAGTTCACTAACAGCATTTTCTGTCCTAGGTGCAGGGAAATGTGCTAAGTCTGGCTGCAGTGTCCAAGAGATAAGCATCTTCCAAGCTGGCTGTTATCCAGATTTGTCATCCTCATTGTAGTAAAACACTGGCCAGGAAGACAAAAGTGCATCTGTGAAAGGAAACAGAAAGCCACCTGGTCCTCAGGGAAAGGAGGATTTCAATTCTTCCTCTGGGCCCAGAGCTAAGGTGATAAGAGGTTTGACATTGGAAGCTCTTTAAATACAATCCTAGGACCTGGCAAGGTGGCTCACGCCTATGATCCCAGCACTTTAGGAGGCAGAGGTGAGTGAATCACTTGAGGTCAGGAGTTCTAGACCAGCCTGGCCAACATGGCAAAACCTCGTCCCTACCAAAAATACAAAAATTAGCCAGGTGTGATGGCGTGCATCTGTAATCCCAGCTACTCGGGAGTCTGATACATGAGAATCACTTACACCCGGGAGACAAAGGTTGCAGTGAGCCGAAATCATGCCACTGCACTCCAGCCTAGGGGACAGAGCCAGACTCTGTCTCTAAATACATAAATAAGATCTGAAAGTTGTGGAAATTAGGGGCATGAAACTAACTCATACAGTCCAAGTAAGTCACTGCAAGATTTAGAATCTTACATCAGGTTTCATGAGTCTTCTAATTTTCTTGCTATACTGTATATAAGCTTTCATTTCTTAGGACATTATTTTATTTTTGAGACAAGAGTCTCGCTCTGTTGCCCAGGCTGGAGTGCAATGGCATGATCTCAACTCACTGCAACCTTTGCCTCCTGGGTTCAAGTGATTCTCCTCCCTCAGCCTCCCAAGTAGCTGGAACTACAGGTGTGTGCCACCATGCCCAGCTAATTTTTGTATTTTTAGTAGAGATGGGGTTTCACCAGGTTGGCCAGAATGAACTTGATCTCCTGACCTTGTGATTTGCCCACCTTGGCCTCCCAAAGTGCTGGGATTACAGGGGTGAGCCACTGTGCCTGGCCCGTTATTTTATTTTTTATTTTTACTTTATTTTTGAGATGGAGTTTCATTCTGCTGCCCAAGCTGGAGTACAGTGAGCGATCTCAGCTCACTGCAACCACTGCCTCCTGGGTTCAGGCGATTCTCCTGCCTCAGCCTCTGGAGTAGCTGGAATTACAGGCATGCGTCAGGCATATAACTAATAGCTAACTATAATGCAGTAAAGGGTAGATAAAACTTTTAAGAGTAAATTGCACAGCTGCCGCTAGAGGGCAAACAAGGTTAGTTTTAATCTACTGCTTTCCTATTCCGCTGACTCAGCTAATAATTCTTCAGTCTGACTACAGAGTCCAAAACAAGCCTAGATTTGCTTCCTGTCATGAGAGGAGTCATAGGTTTATAGATGACTACTGTGGTTGGATTTGAATACAATCCTTCTTCCCTGGGATTAGAAAAATTCAGGTCTAGAGACTGTCAAAGATGGTGCTCTGTTTCAAACACTTGGCTCTGTAGGACTATCTAAGCCAAGGAAAATGAGGTAAGTTGAATTATGACAGAAATCTTTATTAAAATGTGTCTTTCGGTAATATGTTTAGCATTCAATATACACACATACATATGTACACTCTTTGACACACCTCACAGATTGCCGTCATCAGTTTAACCAATAAATTAAAACTAAAAAGAGGGAGGGGGAAGGGGGACTAACGGCAAACTTTTCATGTTTTATCTGGTAAGAAATTGTGAATTTCTCAGAATTTCCCTGGGGAAAACCGGTGACCAGAGAATCTTTGAAATAAAATACATAAATCCCTACCCCTTGAAAAAAAAAAATAAAAAAAAATAAAAAAAAATTCCAAAAGATGCAGTAACAAGTGTGCTTCTCAGAACAGGAGCATTCATTCCATTTCATACTCTGGCTTCTGTACCTTCTGGCTTCAAGAAAGTTTGTCCCTCAGCTAGGGCAGAGAGGTTCATTTGGGCACTTGGGCTCGGTACCCCTTGGGCTTTGGGGGTCGAGGGGCAGGCTGCAGTATGGGAGCGGGGGGAGCCACACTCATCTGAGGTGATGTCTGGCACATCATCTGACTGTGTATCAGAGCTCTCTAGGTCACTGCGGATGCTTTCAGGCTGGGCCAGGCTGATGTCCCAAGGTTTGCTGGCCAGGCAGTCTTTCTGTTCACAGCTTTGGTGTCTGCAGGGGGGATCTTCTTCACTGCCTCCACCACCAGTACCTTCTTCTTCATTCTCTGCCATCTGAGCATGCACATGGAGCGAGTCCTCCGTGCTGCTTCCACTCACCAGCTGATAGTGGCTTGGTTTGGCTTCAATGTCCACTTGGATTTCCATATTGTTGCATTCTCTGTGGAGACAAAATCCACTTTGCTGAGTCATGCATGGGTCATGCTAAACCTGTTGGTAAAAGCAGTTTGTGGGTTCAGGATTAGGAATTTCAAAAGGATAGGTAAATAGTGAACTAGAGCTCACGTTTTACAAAAATAAAATTTTAATTTAACACTCAAATGAGATGGGAGACTGGATGTGATGGTTCATGCCTATAACCCCAGTGCTTTGGGAGGCCGAGGTGGGAGGTTACCCTGAGCCCAGGAGTTTGAGACCAGCCTGGGCAACAAAGTGAGACCCTGTTTCTAAAATAAAAAAATTAGCTGAGCATGGATGCACATGCCTGTACTTCCAGCTGCTCGGGAGGCTGAGATGGGAAGATTGCTTTAGCCCAGGAGTTCAAGGCTGCAGTGAGTTATGATTGTGTCACTGCACTCCAACCTGGTTGACAGAGCAAGACCCTGTTTCTAAAAAACATAAAAATAAAAATAAATGAGATGGAAAAGAGTAATTAGATCCTTTTTGCTGATTTAACTATATATGTACATGCACATATACCTCAGCCAATCTCTTTAAACATATAGAAAGAGCTTCCAAAATCCAACTAAGGGTCAGAGCCCCACACTAGCTTACTCAAAATATAAAAGTAAAAGCTTTTTACTACTATACCACAAGTAGAAGAAGCCAGAATACCTACAGTAGGAGTACCACCATTACACCATCCCAGATATACTAGTTTCTCAAAATGAAAGAGAAAGAGGCTATGGGAACCCTATCAAGCAAAGGGCAAGCAGAAAACCTAGACTCACAGACATCAATGAACACCAATCTAGCTCTTTAAGTTCCATGTTATTATACACTGTTGCAATAGCCAAGAAAGACCAAAAGAAAAAAATGAAAAAAAAATCTAAAAGGAAGAAAGAAAAGACATCTCTAAAAATCAAGTGCTAACAAGAAGAATCAAGAGATGTCGAACATGCCAGTACCAAGAACTTGCTCAAATGAATTCACAGGTTACACTATACATCCCACAAAATAGTACACAGAGCCCTACCATGAGGCACTCAACTTCTGAAGACCTAGTACCCAACCAAAAAATGCAACCTCTCCTGGACATCTGACTGTTCACATACCTGTCCTGTGGGTTGTAGGAACTGATTATGGAACCGGCCATAGCACGAGTGCTTGCGTTGTCACTAATTGCACCAAGACTGGCTGTGTCTTTGGGGAAAATTTCCTTTTGGACATCGGCTTGAACTTCTAACCTGTGTAAAGAGGGGACGTTCAAGTTAATATAAGACCTGGGTATTCCATGACAGTCTGCTTCCTGGCACACATCTTGTCCATTATTCTCTCGCAAATTGTGGTTATCTGTCTGATCTTCTCCAGTTGTCAAACAGCGCAAAAAGATGCCTATATATTTTTTCTCTTAAACATCTATTGAAATCATCCCCTCCTTTCTATCCCCATAGCTACTGCTTTACTTCAGGTTCTCATCATCTCCTGCCTGAATGACTACATTGGGCTCCCTCTCCAGTAGCCCTTAAGTCCAAGTCAAACAGCCTCTAGTATAGTGCCAGTGTGAACAAAGACCCAATCACTCTAATAATTCTCTAACTCTTGGCTCCCTACTGCCAACAGGCATTTAAGGTCTTCCTGATCTGCCAGGAGACTCTGTCCCGTTCCATCATTTACTATAGGTCTGAAATCATAGTCACTCTGAATTTTTTCTTTATTTAAATACCTATACATTTTATACTTCCATGACTTTGCACATGCTATTCTGTCTCTCTAGAACTTGTCTACCAAACTTACACTCAGTCCTTAACAACAAAGGAAATATCACTTCCCCTCATTATCCCAGCAAACCATTCATTTCTTGCTAAGTGCTCCCACAACACCTGCTTACTTATTATTATTATTTTTTTTTTGAGAGGGAGTCTCACTCGCCCAGGCTGGAGTGCAGTGGCACAATCTCAACCTCTGCCCCTCAGGTTCAAGCGATTGTCCTGCTTCAGTCTCCGAAGTAGTTGGGATTACAGGTGCCCGCCACCATACCCAGGTAATTTATAAATTTTTAGTAGAGACAGGGTTTCACCATGTTGGCCAGGGTGGTCTCAAACTCCTGTCCTCAGGTGATCTGTCTGCCTCCACCTCTGAGGTTGGGATTACAGGCAAGAGCCACCACCCGGGCCCTGCCTACTTATTATATCAATTTATGCATCTCTCACTCCTCTGTTAACTCCACCAAAGAAGAGACCACAACTCATTCACACTTCACCTTCCCTGCCTGGCACATAACAGGAAATCAAACATTTAACAATCAAATTACCTCCAGGGCATCATGAGACTGAAGGACATAAAGGAGCCAACCTCTTCCCTCCTCTTGGAGCAGCAAACTTTGCAAATGGTGTCTCAGAGCTCATAACTATTTCCTTTCTTGGCTTCAACACCACTTTGTTGCACACTTAAGTATTTCCTCATAATGGGTTTCACAGTCAAACCCATCTGACTCATTCACTTCCTATAAAAGAAAGGCTTACACAGAACTAGAACAGCTGGACTGGCTAAGCTGCAGTTTCAGCAAGTCAGTCTCCAATTATGTCTGTCTGCTTATTTACAGGGCTGTTGGTTTTAAGAAAGCACAGCAGTGGATACGCCAGCATGTGGGGGCGGGATCCCCTGACAAGAGACAACCAGAGTCATGAGATGCGCAGACAGGTCAATAGCAGCCTGCAGCTGCACATTCAAGCAGCCTCCATCCTACTGCCTGAGCCTTTGCTCAGGTGCCCTTCAAAAATGTGCCAAGGCCCAGGGAAATGAGGGAGTTCAATGGAAAGTACATAGTGTCAGAGACCTGAGTTCTAGTTTCAAGTCTGCCACAGAATTACTCTGAGTTGGAAGAGTCTTTCAGAAAGGCCACCTACTTAGGTGGGTCTCGATGCTGGGTCATGCAATGGCTGTGCTAGAATCACCCAGGGAGTTTTTTCAAAACACAGACCACCCGCTAGGTTCCACTCCAGGAAATTCTAAGTTATTCATTCTGGGATAGGGCCCTGAAATCTATTTTTAAGAGGCTCCCAGGTGACTGACAGGCACTCAGGTGTGAGTTCCAGTCCACCTGCCATCTGTTGCTTGAATCCTTCTAATAGCCAAATGGCCATCTGGTCTCACTGTAAACATTTCCAGGGATACGCAGCTCAGTATCTACTAAGATACCCTTTTTCCTCTTTGTGCTTTCCTGCCGCTTTTCCCTATGTTCTCTTTTTTTTTTTTTTTTCCTATGTTCTTTATACTGAACCAAAATTAGTTTCCCTTTAGCTTCTGCCAAGTCATCTTAATCTACCTCTTGGTATGAGGCATAAAAGTCTAATCCTTTTCACAGCTGAAGGTCCTTCAGACAGCTGAAGGCAACCATATCCCTACCTTCCTATCCTGCTTTGTTCCACCTTTACCTCTTGGTAGGTCTTTCTGCTCCAGTGCATTCAAGTAACTGCTTCTCAGGCAACATGGTATGCTCCTCTGAAAATATATGCTCTGGTCTGCCTAACTAGTGAAATGACCAAGCAAGTCACAATCTTTTTAGTTAAATACAAAGCTTTATGTATTTTCGACACAAGTACATAGAACTGATTTTCCTTATCAAATGGAAATATAAAGGTAATAAGGATCGCAGTATCAATAAACCAGCTAGGGCTCATACCTATAATCCCAGCACCCTGGGAGGCTGAGTTGGGAGGATGGCTTGAGGCCAGGAGTTCAAGACCAGCCTGGGCAACAGGGCAAGACCCCATCTCTATAAAAAATTTGAAAAGTTAGCTGGGTGTGGTGTGTGCACTTGTAGTCCCAGCTGCTCAGGAGGCTGAGGTGATAGGATTGCTTGAGCCCAGGAGGTTGAGGCTGCAGGCGGCCATGATTGTGCCACTGCACTCCAGCTTGGATGACAGACTAAAAAAAAAAACCAAAAACCCACCCCCAAAGCCCAACATCAATAAGCCATAGAACAGTATAAATGCTACTGAAAGCCAATGACAAGCCTAATGGAGAACACAGCTTTAGAATTTCTATAAAAATGTCTGCTCTCCCTTCCTGAAGCAGGCAGCATCAGGTAGTCAAGGGAGAATCTGAAGTCAGGATTATTCTTTACATAGAGGCAGCGACGATGCAGTGGAAAGAACACTGAATTTTGCATAACTGATGTAACCTTTTTTCTAAGCTTTTTTCCTATTTGTAAAAGTAAAATAAAAACAAAAAAATAAACTAAAAACAGCAACAATTAAATCAAAGCAAGATGATATATGTCACAAGCCTGGCACAGAGAAATGGCTCAATGTGTTACTTCTTATAATTCTAACCATTTCTGTCAGAAATTATCTATTTGTTTACCTGCTGTATTTTCCCTTGCCACTGGAGAGAATGCCGCCACTCAGTGTGCCCCCTGAGAGGGCTGCAAAGCTGGCTGTTTCGCTGTAAGGACCTTGCATAACACTGAGTCCATCTGTAGGGCTTCCACTAGTGCTCAATACACTAGTCAGGCCTTCGATGCTGCTTTCCCCAATGCTGGGATTCTTGAGGGCTCGCCAGGCATCTGCCACTAGGGACAGAACCAAACATCTCAATTCAGGACAGCAGAGTATCAAAACAGTCAGTAGGGCATTTTCCTGCAATGACTCATCAGGGTACTAATGTGTTCACTTAATAAACAGGTACTGTGTACAGTCACCACACATCAGGTACTTTAACATTATGTTCACATTTAATCCTCCAAATAAGTAGGCATTAATAGCCTCAATTTTAGATGAGAAAACTGGAATTTAAAACTAAATGACTTGTCTAAGGTCCTCTGATTCCAAGTCCACTATTCTTTCCACTACACTGTTGCTTCCATGTAACCAAATATGATTTAAAAAATATGTTTAGATCACATGCTGATTTTTTTTTTTTTTTTGAAATGGAGTTTCGCTCTTGTTGCCCAGGCTGGAATGCAATGGCGTGATTTCAGCTCACCACAACCTCTGCCTCCGGGGTTCAAGCAATTCTTCTGCCTCAGCTTCCCGAGTAGCTGAGATTACAGGCATGTGCCAACATGCCCAGCTAATTTTGTATTTTTAGTAGAGACGGGGTTTCTCCATGTTGGTTGGGCTGGTTTCGAACTCCTGACCTCAGGTGATCTGCCCACCTTGGCCTCCCAAAGTACTGGGACTATAGGCATGAGCCACCGCGCCTGGTCATGTGCTGATTTTAATAGGAAGCTTCTAGTAGAAAGCTAGAGAAACCTTTGGGGATCTCTGTGCCCTATGTTAGTTACTATGGTAAAATAGAAGCCACATTAAAGTAGAAGTCAGAAGACTTGCTCTTGCCTCAGCTCTGTGAAGCTCTTAACAGATAGTGAGACAAAAGGTTAAAGAAATTCCCATTTAAAATTGTTCGCAGTTACAGATCAAACTCCTTGTTTTACCCTTTCCCCCCTTTTCTCACTAGTGTACTTGACTAGTCAAAAAAAAAAAAAAAGAAAAAAAGAAATTCCCTTTTAAATGGGGATAACAGCCCCATCCTCCTTCATCAGGGAGCTGTTTGTTGTAAAAAGCAAGTGAGATAACCGTGTAAAATACTCTGAAAATTATGAAGTACTGTGCAGATATAAAGACTTTATTACAATCACTACTACTACCAGCATACTTGGAGTTACTTGGAATCCTACTAGTTTGTACCTACCACACAGAGGCAAGTACCAGGGGAATTAACCTAATAACTTTGGAACAAAGAAATGAAAAGCTAAAAATACTTTACCCCCTACAAAGCTCATTATCCAAAGTAATCCAATGACAATCTCCCTATAAAATGTGCTGAATTTTACTGACTTTTATCTTGTGTATCATAAGTTCAAATGGAAATAAACATCCTGCTTTTTACCTGTGATTGGACCATCATCTTCATCAAATTCAATTTTCACGCCTTTTCCGTTGGCTGTGCTAACTCCACAGCCACCTCCACGACAAAGAGAAATGGGCACAACCCCATAAACATAAGCCAGCATAATGGGGACACCAATACCTGGGTGAAGAGAAGGAAACATGTCAACAGGCCATTAGGTTGCAAGTGCCCTGAATTCTTCCCAGCCTGGGCATGGACAAACCGCTTTATAAAGAAAGAAAGACAGAAAATGGCTATCCCAAAAAGGTTGCTTGGTGTAACAGAATGATGACCAGACTAGAAATAAGAAAGGTCTGGATTAGATTCTTGGCTCCATTTACTAGCTTTATAACCTTGGACCTATCTTCCCAGGGTTGTCAATAATCAAATGAGAATGTAAGTACTGTGCCTTTCACAGTAAATATATGTTGCTTTCATTTTCTCCTCTTCTAATCACTGCTGAAATGCTAACCCAATTGAGCCAATCAGAAATCAAATATTAAATAAATGACTACTGTCTGGAGTTTAGGATCTCCGCAGGATGTTAATTCCAAAATCGTACTGCTGTGTGAAGTAGAATGGCTTAGCTGTTAAGAGCACAGGATCTGAAGGCAGATTGCCTTGATTCATGTCCCAGCTAAGTGACCTTGGGAAAATTACCGCACCTTTCTAGTAAAATTGTGCTTCCTTTTGTGAGGATTGTGAGGATTAAATACATGCAAAAGTCTCAGAACCACTCCTGGCACATAAAGAGCCACATTAAGTGTTAGTTACACTATTATTATTCTAAAATAAACTCTTATGCCTCCCAAAATAATGTGAGGCATTAAACAAACCAAAACAAAAATAATTTTGTTTTGTGAATTTCATGGCAAGTAGAGGAGAAGGAAGACAAAAGGTGAAAACTAGGGCTTAAAATAAGTTTCTTTAATTCAGCCTTTTCTATGTGCCCAATGGAGTTCTAGGCACTAACTTAAGAACAAAAGATCACACACTCTAATATAATTTGGTGTGGCTGAAAAACTAAAAAATAATCATAATCATGGTGCCTAATGGAGTTAACTATCAAGGTAGATTGGCATAAAATGCAGGAGTCTTTGAGAAACATCTGGCCATCTGGCTAAACTGCTATTGTCAGAAAGCTGAGAGAGAAGAGGTGTGGTCCTGACTAGCTTACCAACACTAACTGCAGCAATAACTGGGGATGCAATGACCGACAGAGTCACTCCTCCTGTGATAGCCAAATTTCTCTTGTGTTTGGAGGTTTTCCTTCCCTCATACCTGCTATGAATCTAAGAATAAAAAAAGAAAATCCAGGTTAGCAGGTTAGGACATCAATCTTTTGCCAGAGGAAAAAAGGACAGGTGAATATTCACTTGTAAGTTACCTATATTAAAACATATCCTCCACCCCAAATAGGCATCTTACAACCTAACTCAGACCTGGAAGATATAAACTAATACAGACAAAGTTAATCCAAAAAGAGACAAAATAATTCAGCAGAATGAAATAAGCATTTTGCCTTTTTCTTTTTCTTTCTTTCTTTTTTTTTTTTTTGGAGTCTCTCACGCAGGCTGGAGTGCAGTGGTGCGATCTTAGCTCACTGCAACCTCTGTCTCTCTGGGTTCAAGCAATCCTCTCACTTCAGCCTCCCTAGTAGCTGGGACTACAGGCACACGCTACCATACCCAGCTAATTTTTCTATCTTTTTTTTTTTGGTAGAGACGGGTTTTTGCCTTGTTGCCCAGGCTGGTCTCAAACTCCTGGGTTCAACCGATCTACCTGCCTTGGCCTCCCAAAGTGCTAGGCCACATATTACAGATGTAAGCCACCATGCCCAGCCCAGCATTCTACCTTTAAGTCACTGAGATAAGCCAGGCCCAGGATGTTAATAAGAACTTTAAGATCTCATGGGGGTTTATGAAAATCCATTTAAGAAATTAAGGTTATTTTTATCTAAGAACCAGTTGGTTTTCAGGCAGCTCTGAACTGTAGCTCCTTCCCATTTCCCTCAAACCTTTACCAACAAACCTAAGGTTGAAACAAGCACAGAAACCAGCATGTCTTTCTTACCTTCCTTCCAACATAAACAGGAATGCCAATGACCATGGCAGGAATGGCAATGCCAGCAATGAGAGAAATCCCCACTGGAGCACCAATCAACGTGCCCAGTTGCCAAAGAATTTTCTTCTTACGGCTCCATGGCTTCTTGCCCCAGAATGTACAGCCAGAGGGGCTGCAGGGGAAACAGACTGAAGTTAATGTCAACATTACAAATTCAGCTATTGTTATCAGAGGGCTTGATAACAGCAGCAGTCTTCTTTTCAATAAGAGTGATTAACAGAATAGGTTACAAGAAATGAATACATTACACAAAGGAGAGCAAAGGACAAGGCCAGACTATTAGAGCTCTGCACTCTTTAACTTTTTTGGTTGTTGTTATAAAGACAGGCTTCCAGACTTGAAACTCCTTTTCTGTTCTTCTCTGCTGAATTCTATCTTCCCCAACCTACCAAAACTGATCTAGCTTCCATGAGTGACAATACTTGGGATTCTGCATAGTCTCATGCACTTGCCATCCCATCCAGACACACTGCACCATGTAGCTAATGAATGCTCTGATTTGTGTAGTTTTCTTAGCATATGTCCTACCACACCTAATAGATACTGCAAACCATGTTTCTGGGAGAGGATATAAAAATATCTCACCATACTCTTTGTATCAGCTTGGTATTCTGAGTTTGGCTACTTTTACTTTCAGTCCTTCTGTGCCCAACCATTTTTGCCCATTCTCTCTGTGCTATCTTCTCTACTAGATGGGAAAAGCAATTTTGAAAATAGGGATCATGGCCAGGTGTGGTGGCTCATGCCTGTAATCTCAGCACTTTGGGAGGTTGAGGTGGGTGGATCACAGGGTCAAGAGAGGGAGACCATCCTGGCCAACATGTGAAACCCCATCTTTAAAAATATAAAAATTAGCTGGGTGTGGTAGGCCGCAAGTAGTCGCAGCTACTTGGGAGGCTGAGGTAAGAGAACTGCTTGAACCCAGGTGGCGGAGGTTGCAGTGAACCGAGATAATGCCACTGCACTCCAGCCTGACAATAAAGTGAGACTCCGTCTCAAAAAGAAAAAGAAAAAAAAAAAAATAGGGATCACATCTTATTCACCTCTATGTCCCCAATGACTAGTACATATAAGGACTCAAATGTTTGACAAATTGGAAATGAAGGTGGTGTTTCATTCACACAATGAATGTTTGTTTGTAAATATTAACATTTTGTTTGTAAATACGAACTCCTCCAGAACAATATTTTAATATTCACTCAATGAGGCTGGGCACAGTGTCTCATGCTTGTAATCCCAGCACTTTGGGAGGCCGAGATGGGTGGATCACCTGAGGTTAGGAGTTTGAGACCAGCCTGGCCAACATGTTGAAACCCTGTCTCTACTAAAAATATAAAAATACAAAAATTAGCCAGTGTGGTGGCGGGCACCTGTAATCCTAGCTACTTGGGAGGCTGAGGCAGGAGAATCACTTGAACCCAGGTGGTGACAGTTGCAGTGAGCTGAGATCGAGCCACTGCACTCCAGCCTGGGTGACAGAGCGAAAAAAAAAAAATTGTCTTAAAAAAAAAATCACTCAATGAATTCCTTGGAAACTCACTAAATGCAAAACGCTATAAAAAGGTCACAACTCTAGCCTCAAGATACTTACAGTTAAGTAAGATAAGACATGTACGTGAAGCATATGTTGTACCTGAGCGAGTCAAGGAGTGCGCCACACTCTGAGAATGAATTATGAGTCCTTTATTAAGCCGGCAACCGAGTGGCTAATGCCCAAAATTCTCTTGGCCCCAAAAAAAAGTTAGGTGGTCTTTTATACACTAGTTTTAACAGGAAAGGGGGGGACCTAGTTGAAACAAAGTTTTCACAAAGGCAGAGCAAGCAAAAAGTTAAAAAGAAAAACTGATACATAAGAAATAAAACAGTGCCAGGTGTGAGGAGTACAGCTGTCATGAAAGACATAAACTTAGAGTCAAGGCAGTCTCTGGGCACTCACTGCAGCTGCACTTCCAGGCTCTGCTGATACCACTTTACTCGGCCTCTTATCAATAAAGTCACTCTGGGTGCCCAGAGTCAGTCTGACCTTGTTTTATACTACAGTTATATACTTAATGGGGAGAAGGTTACTAAAATGAAGAAGCCAAGATGGAGTCTGTTCAGCTCAAAAAAGGGTAACATAAAGCCTGAACAGCTTTTAGTCAGGGAAAAGGATACTGTAGTTAGTTTTAGCTGGCAAAAAGCAGGGTATCACACATAAAGTACTGATAATACTTATGACAAAAGATAAAAGAAAGTCAAAGAATGAGGGAGAAAAAGGAGAGGCAATATGGATGAAATGGCATTTAAGTGGTTCTTAAAGAACAAGAACTGAACAAGTTGAGATAAAAGGAGGATACTGGAAGGCGGGCAGAAAACATTCTAGGCAAAGGAAAGAACATGAACAAGTATAGAGGCAAGACAGCAAAAAGGGAAGAGCAAGTCCAGACTACCTGGAATATGGCATGTATAAAAGCAAAGAAAGAGGCTGAGCATGGTGGCTCATGCTTATAATCCCAGCACTTTGGCAGGCTGAGGCGAGTGGATCACCTGAGGTCAGGAGTTCAAGACCAGCCTGGCCAACATGAAACCCCATCTCTACTAAAAATACAAAAATTAGCCAGGCATGGTGGTGGGCGCTTGTAATCCCAGCTATTTGGGAGGCTGGGGCAGGAGAATTGCTTGAACCTGGGAGGCAGAGGTTGCAGTGAGCCAAGATCACGCCACTGGACTCCAGTCTGGGTAACCAGAGGGATTTTCCATCTAATTAAAAAAAAAAAGCAAAAGCAAAGAAAGGTAAAAAGATCTAGAATAGTGGCTGGTGTAAACATAAGAGAAGCCTGTCAGAGGACCTTTTCACAGCTTTCTTAATCTGTAATGAGAGAATGGCTGTGTCTCTTTGACATCCTTTTCCCTAATCAGTAAGAGAATAAGACTACTAAAGCAGCAGATGCATTTCCCATCTTACCTGAGGTAATGCAAGTCTGAGATCTCTTTCATACAAAGCCAGCAGAATTCACAGCCACACACTGCACAAGTCATGTGATTACAGCTTCCATCATTCATCTTGATAATGTAAGCACTGCATCGTGGGCATGGCTTGATGTCATCTGCTATGAGCCGGGGAGGAAGAATGGGTAGAAAAACATCCGCAGTTAAACTCAGTTTGATTTAATTATTCCAAGGAGTATATGTAAGAAATAAGGCAGCAGTCAAGAACCCTTCACTGAACCCTCCAAACTGTACAACCCACTTTACTGGAAAATTGGCTATGTCTAGACCTCAGGAATTTTCATAAAATGAATCCTGTCTTATATTGAGCTGCCCATCCCAACAACTGGCATCTTACACAGCACTTAAACCACACTCTAGCAAGGAGACTTCCTTAGGGAGAAAGATGTTTCCAAGAAAAATAAATTTCTACCAGTTAATAGGCTGGCAGATTTTAAAAGAAGAATCCTACAGAAAGAATAGCCTGCAGCCTAGAATTAGCTTTATTTTATTTATTTATTTTTTTTTTGAGACTGAGTCTTGCTCTGTCACCAGGCTGGAGTGCAGTGGCGTGATCTTGGCTCACTGCAACCTCCCCCTCCTGGATTCAAGCGATTCTCCTGCCTCAGCCTCCTGAGTAGTTGGGACTATAGGCGTGTGCCACCACATCGGCTAATTTTTTGTATTTTTAGTAAAGACCCCCTTTCACTGTGTTAGCCAGGATGGTCTCGATCTCCTGACCTTGTGATCCACCTGCCTCGGTCTCCCAAAGTGCTGGGATTATAGGCGTGAGCCACTGGGCACAGCCAGCTTTACATTTTGAAAAACTTAAGTTTGGGAAATTTATTTTTCAGATTCAACCCGTATCATAGTGATTTGCCATTAACACAGCCCACAATCCCTTCCCATAATACTTTCAAATTCAAAACCTAAAAACAATTGGGTATGCTATGTAGCATATACTTGATAATTTTCACAGCAAGCTATGAACTATCCTAATAAAATGACAATTTAGGAAATTATGCTATGTCAGGAAAAAGTAAATGGCAAATCTTTCCTACCAGCCTCTCCCAAATGACATCAGTAAAATAAAGTACAAAGTAATAAATCCACTGACATTTTAAAATAGGTTTACTCTGACTTGTCAAGGTTGGAGCCAAATGTGTGACATTCCTCCTTTTAAAGTTAATCATTAATCTATACTAATATTGTTTCCTTTTATTCCATCTGTACTCTACTTCCAAAGGCAGTGATGCACTTACAGCTTGAAGGCAAACAGTATAGGTTTAATACTAAGTAAATGTCTTTCTGTTCACAATTAAAGTTTTGAAAAAGCCCTTGGCAAAACAAAACGAACTAATTGCTCTCCAATCTGAGACATATTACTAAGAAAGTAGGAACTACACAATTCAATTTTGTTGCATTTCAATTTTATATGGGTTGGATAACCTGTAATTGCCAGAGAGAGAAGCTCTATCTCTATTATAATATTGAAAGTATTACCAAATGATATTTTCTGCTCTCTGATCCTTTGGAGTACACTTGGGTTATACAATAAGATAATCTCTTTCAGATTTGGGCTCACATCATGAAATACCAAATAAAGAGACAATTAGATAATGCCAACTTATACCTGGTCCAGATTCTTGCCCGTAACTGAGACCTGAAGTGTGTTTGGTCCGAACTCGTAAAGTCTGGGCCCTCTGTTGACGGGCCATATCGCATGTTTGATTTGGATGCCATATCTGCTTGCAGTGGTAGCAGAACTCGGTCTGGCAGCCTTCCCTCTCACAAGTTAGCTTCGGGCAGCTGGCACAGCCATAGGCAATAACAGCATAACTAGGTAAGGAAACAGGAAGTGATACCAGTAAGGTAAGAACGATCTAACCAAAAGAGACAGTATTCATCACTGTTAACACTGGCACTATCCCACTATCACATATGATACAGAGAAAAGAATACACACACACACACATAAGCACATTTGACCAACTGTAAAATATATCCCATGTAAGAAAGTAAATTTCCTTTTTTTTCTTTTTTTGAGACAGAGTCTTGTTCTGTCGCCCAGGCTGGAGTGCAGTGGTGCAATCTCGGGTCACTGCAACCTCCACCTCCCGGGTTTAAGAGATTCTCCTGCCTTAGCCTCCCTAGTAGCTGGGATTACAGGCGCAAGCCACCATGTCCTGCTAATGTTTTTTGCATTTTTAGTAGAGACGGGTTTTACCATGTTGGCCAGGCTGGTCTCAAACCCCTGATTTCAGGTGATCCACCCGCCTCAGCCTCCCAAAGTGCTGGGATTACAGGCACAAGCCACCATGCCCAGCTGTAAGTTTCTTGAGATTCTAAAAACACAAATCATTTATTTCCTTTAAAACATGGAGGTGGAAGAGGAAGATAAAAATGGAAGTGGAGTATCATATTTATCCTGGATTTCCAGCATTTATTCAGTCATAGCTGAAGCTGCTTTAGGAGTAGTTTGTCATAGCAAGTTTCATAAATAACAGGGTACAAAACTATTTCCTTTTGACAGTTTGCTATATTTAGAGAGATTAGTATTTGTTTATATGAAGGAACAGAACATTAGTGAAATAAAGAGCTATCACAAAAACTAAAGCAAGTTTCAAGTTTCTTTTTTCTTTTCTTTTTTTTTTTTTTGAGATGGGGTTTCACTCTGTCACCCAGGCTGGAATGAAGTGGTGCAATTTTGGTTCACTGCAACTTCCGCATCCCAGGCTCAAGCAATCCTCTTGCCTCAGCCTCCAGAGTAGCTGGGACTACAGGTGTGCACCACCACACTTGGCTAATTTTTGTAATTTGTGTAGAGATGGGGTTTTGTCATTTTGCCCAGGCTGGTCTCAAGCTCCCAGGCTCAAGCAATCAGCCTGCCTCAGCCTCCCAAAGTGCTGGAATTACAGGCCTGAGCCACCATGCTACTTTTTCATTCTTAAGTTCCACAGCAAAGTTGGTCTGACCGTAGTCACAGAGACAATAACCCTAAATGGACTTATGATCAGCATCTCCTCTTGAAAGTTCATCTTATCTTTCCATACTTTTCCAATTCAAATCTATACTTTGAAATGTCTTGATAGGCTCCAGAATACAAGAACACCATGCCTCTATCTTATACATTAATAGCATTAAGTCCATACCTCCCTTTCTCTCTTCTGACACTTTTTTTTTTTTTTTTTT